CTTAGCACAACCAGGTATTCCTGAGATATGACAAATCAAAACATAATGACCACATCTGAAGTAACAAATTATCCACAAAAAGAATTATAAGATGAGAAGAGAACACCACAAGCGGGTACAATGATAAGCAATGTTGTTTAAATCAGGTGATAATCAAACCAATAAACTTCCAAAAAGATATCAGAAAACAATAGCATTCTTGTACGTGATCTAGACATAAAAACAGATGTTGCTAGACATTAGCTTTTTAGGCCCTGGACTTAATGCAAGTATTCCTCAGTCTGCTCTTCGTTCTAACTCATGAATCATATTGAAAAATAAATAGGAAGAGGGAAGGGAAGTGGGGAAGAATGCTCCACCCGGGTCACACCAAACAGATGATTTTGAGAAGAAACAATGAGTACAACAATGACATGCCAAGATTGGAAGTACCTCAAAGGTAATTATGGTAGTGCCACAGTCAGTTTCTCTTCACCAATTCCCATGACATAGCTGCACAGGTTATTTATCGCATTATCATGATGCTTTATTGCAACATAAGCAGCTAAAAGAGATGATCGGAAATGGATTGTATTCTAATCTCACAATATTGGAAAGATGACGAACGTCCGGGAATGATCATATGCTAATGAAACATCACCAATAAAATTCAATCTCAACCAATACCACTGCCAGAAATTAAATATATGTCAATCTCAGCAACCAATAGCCAGGTTAAGAGTGAAAAACAAGCTCTTGGAAAAGCTTGAGTGCAGTTAAGAACTAAACAACCTATTGTTGAACACTTCTTTCCTTTTGAGTGAGCACATCATACAAATTTTACCCTCTCCTCCTCCTCACCTGCTCCTATATCTTCCATTTCCCACTTTCTACGTGCATCCTTACCTTCTTTTCACTCCATTACCAAAGTCTGAATCTTTATTTTCATGACCCCGTACCTCTTCGTACTATTGGACCATGTAAAGCAAAGGAGACCTAAGCAACTTTTACAGGATTTTAACAAATTCTCCACCTAAAGTGTCATACATGACAATTCTTACAAAATCTTCACTTTTTTTTCTACTCATTGGAGGACATAAAAGAGAATAGGGCCATAACCCAAGCACATAGAAACCACGCGAGCATTGGTACTTTATAAACGCTTAGCGGCTTATTAAGTTTAAGAAAACCAGAATATACTGTTCAACAAAACAAACACCAAAATACATGAATATCAGGACTGTTAGTTGCTCTCACACCCCTCTATCAGAATTTTCCCTTTCATCGTCTGATTTCAAGTGGAATATATCAATCTTCAAATTTTCAGCTAATAAAGTATAATTGTACTTCTCTAGAGGGATCTTTTCTGCACCATGAAATGGTCTGAAACAGATCACAGCACCAATCTAACCCTAGAGAAGGACATCAACCAAGGCAAGCTTCAATCATAACATCCAAGGATATGACATATTAGAGACCCTTCGTTTCCAAGGTAATTATAACTTATGGCAGCAAAAGGTTTTTCCCTTCATGGTAAATTGTGACCAGAAGAACCAGAAAATGGTAAAGTGACTTCTGTTGCATCCCAACAACTGCACCAAGGGGAAGGTGACAGATCGTAAACGGACAGCATTTCATAAAATACGCTGAAGAGAATTGTACCCACATGTTAATCTTACTAATATTCAGTACCCGACTACTAAAAGTAGCATTTTAGCTTACATTGCTGGCTTACAATATAATATGATGTACTCATCTAATCGAACAGTAACCAAATGAAACCACTGCAAGATGCTAACTCACCCAACATCCATAGAAGAGGCAGTAGTTATTCTCATCTCTTAGTTTCATCAATACAGCCAGCAGATCCTGTATACAGTAGAAAGCAGTCATTCATTACTGTAGTGCCACTTTTTCCATGAGTCATACTAAAAATGATTCAGCAATGAACTTGGTGAACTGATGCTTATGCAACATTTTATATTCAAGAACTTTTTTTTTTGTCGTGATATTCAAGGACTTGAGAGAAATAACAAATGGTAGATCTCTGACAAATTTTCCACTACGGAATTTCAGTCACACAAATGAACTTCCGAAAGTTCGGAAGAGTTTTAAGATGAACCGCAAAGAAAGGCAAAAGCAGTTGGTTAATCAACTGAACCTCCATCTTCAATCTGATGAACATAATGGGTGACAAACGTTTTCACGAGTTATGGAAAAAGAAGCATTCAGTTGCACAGCATAATGAATGTAGAAAATCCTCTTACTGATCTCAGTCGTGCACTACACATCACTAATTCACTGTCATTTCACCTACTTTCACTGCCATAGAACCAAGGATGCAACAAAAGCATATGATAGTCTGAAACTAAAACCTGACTCTATTAAAACAATATGTTTCACCATTTCTAGGAAACAAAATGAACAAGCCAAAGCCATTTAAATGTAATGAATGAAACTGAGATTTAAAGAGAATCTGGATTCTGGTATATGACATCAAAGAACATAGCTCTTCCGTAATTACTTCCTCTTCCTCTTCATCCTGTTCACCCTCTTCCTCGCCCTCATTCTTCTCGGGCTCCGGAAATTCCTTATTCTCTAATTGATCCAGTGCAGCCTTTGCCTTCTGGAAATATACAAATATCCTCCGACCAAACAATCCTAGAATGATGAAATACGCAATTGACCATGGAAATCTCCTCTTACCAACGACAAAACAAAATCACCTCATAGCATCCAAGCCGCCTATGCACATAAGGCGCACAACCCCATCTGACTAAGGTACGGAACCAAAAAAGAACGAGCCTTTGTAGCTAAGAAAGAACAGAGCAGCTCGAAACAAAAAACCTAACCACGATCCCAATCCTCCTAACTCCACGTCCGCGAGACTGCGGCATCAAAACGAAACTAATCTGCTCTATCAGATCGCTAAGGCCTTGGTCTTTTCCAAGACAATTAAAAGCTAGGACCTATAATCCAAAACCGAAGACAGACACATCGAAAAACCTCAAAAGAGCTCGAAACACCATCGAACCTCAAATAGCCATGCTCACACTTGAAGCAAGAAATAAATGTGCCTTCATCTAGAAATTTTTGGCATCACTGATGATCATTCACGGGTATATGCACTCTTCCATACTCAAAATGAACATTAACTTCCTGACTTAGAATGATGTATAAGCCACAGGTGATCAGTCCCGTGTAGTACATTTTAGAAGAACATATGAAACCAGCAGCAACGTCACAATTCTAACTCCTACATGGTTCCTCATTAACTGCTTCTAGAAAAAGAAGTGAAAGCATATCAAGGCACTCAAGCTATTTCATCCCATTTGTTCATCTAAAGGGACCAGGGGATAGTGCACTCGTTTGTAATCCATGACGAACACTAGTTATTCTCTACATCAACTGAACACTGCAATTTAAGCAGCAACCCAAAGAAGGCTCATAAGCATCCGAAGTAGGTCTGCAGAAACTCCACAATCCAAGATTCCAAACGAGATTTTCAAGATCCAAAATTATTGCCACTGACCCAAACCGTTTGGTGCTAAAAAAAAAAAGAGAGAAAGAAATGAAGACCACAGTCAGCCCTGATCCTCTTCCAAACCTTCACTACCAACTATTCTGAAACTGCTCTAGCTCTGAAGCTTACTGAGCATCCATCTCCGATAAAATAGGAACACTAGAAACAAACTCTCCTAGTGTATTCGCTCACACTTCCATTTCCAAGGCGACGTCCTTTACCACCTTCACAAGCTCCCGATCACTCTTACCCCTCCAAGCACCACTTCCGCAACATAAGCACGAATACGAAGGAAAAAAAAATAAGACTCCACGCGACAAACAAGACGCTCGAACGGAAGCCGAGAGACACGGACGTCACCTGAAGCTTGTCCCCGGATTGACGAGGCGGCTCATCGCGGGGGGACAACAAATGGCCGGCCCGCTCGAGATGGAGCACGGCCTTCACCGAGGAAGGTGGTGCAGGCTTGCCGGCTGAGAGGAGGCGCGGGAGGCCCCTAGAGCGGGAGACGCCGAACCGATGCTTGGCCCGCTTGGACTTACAGCAGAGGTCGACGAAATCGACGGAGAAGAGACCACCACCGCTCCCCCATCCGCGGCCGTTGGGGAGGAGCACCAAGCTGGGTTTGGCGGCGGAGGCCACGGGGCGGGCGGGAGGAGGAGACGGCGGAGGTCGAGACCGGCGGGTGAGGGGCGGGCGAATCGCTCTCGGGCGGGAGAGATTTTTGAAATAACAGAGAGAGAATGTGGGGCTTCGTCTGAGAAGAGAGGAGCGCCGAGGAGATAGAGAAGGAGAGAGAAGGAAGGTGAGGCCGCCATTAATGAAGAAAGAGAGAAGGAAGAGATTGGAAAGGACAAGGGGGGCGTAGGTTTCAACATGCAGAGGAGGAATGCAGGCTAAAGGAAAGAAAAGTTTAATTTTTTTTGGGCAAAAAAGGGGTCCCGGCCCGCCGGTCCCACCCGCGCCACGTGGACCACGTGGCGCCTTGTGAGTGGTTGGGGACCACGCTGACTTGGCAGTCCGGGACCACCTAATATTTTCTCGACCTTGCGATCCCGAAATCGATCGCGGAGCGGTCCCCAGAGAGAGAGAGAGAGAGAGAGAGAGAGAGAGAGAGAGAGAGAGGAGAGGAGAGGAGAGGGGGAAGGACGACGATGCGTGGAGGACCGGGGAGGGGAACGTCACGCGCCAGAGAAACCACAGCGGGAGGCGGCTGACTTCAAACATCAGCCACACGACTCCCCCCCGTAAATCCGCCATGGCCCTCCACTCCCCGGGATCCCACCCCACCACTCTCTCTCTTCCTTCTTCCTCCTCCTCCTCCTCCTCCTCCTTTAATGGTATTATTATTATTATTATTATATTTTTTAATTTTCTTTGTGGGGTCTAATTTGTTTTTTGTTTGCGTCAGCGTGAGAGAGAGAAAGCAGTCGCACATGTCCATGTCCGTGTCCATACCCGTCTCCGCCCTTCAAATCCTCCCCCCCCATCCCCAACCAATCCCAATTCTCCCTCCCCCGGCCGCCACCTGACGTCATCGCCCCCGCCACCACCGTCCGCCTTCCTCCTCCTCCTCCTCGCCCCCCCCGCCGCCGCCTCCATCTCCCGATCCCGCGCGCCGTGATCATGCCCGCGCCCCGAGATCTGATCGTCGTCGTCGTCGTCGCCGGCGCCGGCGGCAATGCGCCCATGAAACCCTCCCTCCTCTCGTAATCCCCCTCGCTCCGTCCCCCTCACCCGCCCCCGGCCCCGGCCTCTTTCCCGCCCGCGCTGCCTCCACGCCCGCCATTGATGTCTCGAGCGCCGAACCATGAGTTCCAGGAATGGTGGAACAAGCAGCGCGAGCGCGGCCTCGACCCCTCCTCCCCCGACGGCGGCGGCGGCCCCCTCCTCCCCGTCGAGATCCGGACCCCGCGGTCCGATCAGGCCGTGGAGAAGTCCCGCGCCCGCAGCGCCCGCCAGCTCTCCTGGGTCTGCCTCCTCCGGTTCCAGCAGATCGCCTCGCTCGTCGCCTCCGCCGCCGGCTCCCTCGTCTCCATCCTCCGCACCGCCAACCGGAGGATCGCCGCCTCCCCCGCGGACTCCTCGTCGTCGCGGCTGTACCGGATCATCAGGTTCTTCCTGATCCTCGTGCTGGTGCTGCTAGGGTTCGAGCTGCTGGCGTATTCCAAGGGGTGGCATTTCAGCCCACCCTCGGTCGGGTCGAAGGAGGTGCTGGGATTCGTGGAGCTGGTGTACGCGAATTGGCTCGAGATTAGGGCTAAGTATTTGGCGCCGCCGCTCCAGAGTTTGACCAATGTGTGCATTGTGCTGTTTCTGATACAGTCCGTGGATCGAGTGGTGTTGGTTTTGGGCTGCCTTTGGATCAAGATTAAGGGGATAAAGCCGGTGGCGTCGGTTGATTATGAGAAGAAGGGAGACTTGGACAGTGAAAGTGGGGATGAGGTGTTTCCCATGGTGTTGGTGCAGATTCCGATGTGCAACGAGAGGGAGGTAAGAACATGTAGGTTCCTCTCTTCTCTCCTGAGACGCCATTCTCGATTCACACATTGCTATTAGCGAAGTGGGGCGGCGGTAGTTAAGCCGTGATTACAATCTGGTTCTTTGTATTCATTTGGAGTGTTTCTCCATGACGGCGTTTACTGGAGAGAGTTTGAAGTTTAATCATGCAACTTCATCGCACCAAACTATCGATTTAGTCAAACTCGGGAGCTCGGTCTAGCTGTGTGCTATACCTTGGGTACAGGGCTTGACATTCATGTTTATCTTAAGATTAGGATGCAATAGTTGACATCATGTTAAGGTCACTCCATTCTGCGGGCACAGTCGTGAACTTGAGATGAGTGAACCTTTGGAGTTTTTGGACATATTTCCAAGTAACTTAGGCAAGACTTGAACATGAATATGCATTCTTTTCTGTTTCGGTGCCTTTTCAACTCAATTTCGTTGTTTGCCTTTTTCATTTTGTTTTCTTTTTTTGGGTGCGGGGGGCAGCAGCATGGAGATGGTTGGGCAAGAGGTTAGTGCCGAATTTCCTGATTATTGATAAAGAAAGCCTCTTTCGAATCTCTTCCAGGATTTTATTAGGCATTAGTAATAAAATATTTTCTTTCGGTCATTTAGTAAGCATCTGCACTGCGTGTTTGCTACCCTCCGGGGGACATTTGTGTGTAAGACTGCAGATATACTGCTAGTGATGGTTTGTTCCTATGGATTACTTGAGTATTGTTTGCATTTCTTAAGCATTGGGATTTACGTAAGGCCCGCTCAATGAAGAAATGAAGTTCGACCAAAGCCATTAGATGGCAATGGCATGACAAGGGCAAAATAAGTTAGTTATTGTAATTAAATCTCTCCACATTTTAATTGATTAAACAGTTTTTGATTAATTTTAGCAGATAAAATTTCACTAATGGAGAAACTAATAAATCTATTGTTGTTGTCAATAATTGACTGGACAATTTTCCATTAACCATCGTGTTGACTCAAGTGAAATTACGAATATTTGGGGTAAGTATAGCATCTATTTGCTTGAAATTTTAACTTTTCACAATTTCTTTAGCGGTTGGGCTTTGAAAGTTCCAACTTATTGAGAGATAATGGGGTCAACTTTCATGAATTAATAGGCTGAGTGGGTTCAAGCTTTATAAATTTTGATTAGATAAATTAATTTTTCTTGACATAAGCCGCACATATTGCAAAATTTGGCAATCGAGTGGGGTCAGTTGACCCTCTAAGCTTCATTACTCTCCGTCCCTGATTGATTGTTTATCTTTTAAGCATCGTTGTCACTTTACCTGCTCCATTTAGATAAGCAAGACCCACATTTATGCTTTCTTTGGCCATAACAGGAGTAATAAATGGATGCTTGAGCGTTGAAATTTCTCTCTTTCTATAGCATTGCTGGGGAAGCTGGTTGTGAGATGAATTGCATTGGATAGTCTTATCTTTCAGTTTGTGCAGATCCTTTGATTGTGTACCGTTCCTCTTTCGTACCTCAGTATAATGGTAACGCCACTAACATATTCTTGATCTTTGAAATGAATACTTGATCGTTGAAATTTCTCTCTTTATATAGCATTGCTGGGGAAGCTGGTTGTGAGATGATTTGCGTGCGATAGTCTTATCTTTCAGTTTGTGCCGATCCTTTTGATTGTATACCGTTCCTCTTTCCGTACCTCAGTATAGAAGTACCACCACTAACATATTCTCTCAATGGTTTCCAACAGGTTTATCAACAATCTATTGCAGCAGTATGCATACAAGACTGGCCGAGGGAAAGAATGCTTGTGCAAGTTCTAGATGATTCCGATGATTTAGATGTTCAACTTCTGATCAAATCTGAAGTTCAGAAGTGGCAACAGAGAGGTGTGCGGATAGTCTACCGCCACCGTCTTATACGCACAGGATACAAGGCAGGAAATCTCAAATCAGCAATGAGCTGCGAATATGTGCAAGATTATGAATTTGTGGCAATCTTTGATGCAGATTTCCAGCCAGGGGCAGATTTCTTGAAAAAGACCATTCCTTACTTTAAGGTACCTCTAGAACAAACTTTTATGAAAGCCGATACATAGTTGAAGTGTTCCGCTGTGTATCAAAAGAAATTGATAAAGGAAGCTTGTCAATGAGTTCTGGCCAAAAGAAGGAAAAGATTGCATGCGGGCTTTGTCGATTAAGCTGATTATTGATGAGCGAAATGTTTGGTTGTTTTCCATTTCAACTGTCGGTAAATCAAAACTTAACTGACTGGAAGTTATTATTTTCTTTCAAGGGAAACGATGATCTAGCATTGGTCCAGACAAGGTGGGCATTCGTGAACAAAGATGAGAACTTGCTTACGAGATTGCAGAACATAAATTTATCTTTTCACTTTGAAGTTGAACAACAAGTTAATGGAGTGTTTATCAACTTCTTTGGCTTTAATGGGACTGCTGGTGTATGGAGAATTAAAGCACTTGAGGATTGTGGTGGCTGGCTCGAACGAACAACTGTTGAAGACATGGACATAGCTGTTCGTGCTCACCTTTGTGGATGGAAATTCATCTATTTGAATGATGTTAAGGTGGGTCGTGGTTGACTTCGCATTTGTCATACTTCATGATGCCATATTTTATGCTCATCTTCCTATGTCTTCGTGCAGTGTCTTTGTGAACTTCCGGAATCTTATGAAGCATACAAAAAGCAGCAGCACCGCTGGCATTCTGGTCCTATGCAATTGTTTCGATTGTGCTTCTTTGATGTACTCCGTTCAAAGGTAAGGTCATCAAATTACAGCTATTCGCATGTTCCTGAATACATTAGAGACTAGATGATTGTTGAAAGGGATCTTAAGGCAATGATGAAAGACCAGAATCAAATTTTGAATTCAACGATTAAGCGATTATTCGAGGATGTTGGGCCTTTCGTTTGTTTCTTTTTTCATTGCTAAGAATTTAGGATCAACTTCAATACTGTGTCTTGAAACTTTTGAAGGTAGTACATGTTGCTTATGTAGGCAGTGTGTTAGTGGGGAGGTCTTGATAGTCATTAGAGCCAGGAGCTGCCAAAACCACTTCGGTTTTGCACAATCAGCTTAGAAGCTAACTCAATGCTACAGTCACTAATATTCGCTTTGTCGATGATTGGTTGGTATTTCTTTTATTGCCTTAAATTTTCTGTAGCTATCAAGGCAGAGTACATATTTATTACACTTCGGTGAGATATTTTTTGCATTTGTAGGTAATTTCATCTACTTGTGTTCTCATAGATGGTATAGTGGTCTACCTCCAACCAGGCACCGTCTTTTCGATTTTGTCTCTTTCCTGTTTATCTGTTTTTGCTCATACCATATCTCTTTTTCATTACAGGTTTCCTTGGCCAAGAAAGCCAACCTTATATTTCTGTTCTTCCTCCTACGAAAGCTTATCTTGCCCTTTTATTCATTCACTCTTTTCTGCATCATTCTCCCGCTGACAATGTTTCTGCCAGAAGCTCAGCTACCAGCTTGGGTAGTTTGTTATGTTCCTGGGGTTATGTCCATTTTAAATATCCTTCCAGCTCCTAGGTCTTTTCCATTTATAGTTCCTTACCTTCTTTTTGAAAACACCATGTCAGTGACCAAATTCAATGCCATGATATCTGGACTGTTCAAATTTGGAAGCTCCTACGAGTGGATAGTTACAAAAAAGTTGGGAAGATCATCAGAGGCTGACCTACTTACCTTTGGTGAAAAAGAATCTGATCCTCTGCTGGAGACTTCAACTCTCCACCGGTCATCATCAGAGTCTGGCCTTGCTGAACTGAATAAGATGGAGATGACTAAGAAAGCTGGAAAACTTAGAAGAAATCGGCTGTACAGGAAGGAGCTTGGTCTTGCATTTATTCTATTGATGGCAGCTGTTAGAAGCTTGTTGTCTGCTCAGGGAATTCATTTCTACTTTCTTTTGTTTCAAGGTATCAGTTTCCTAGTTGTTGGCCTCGATTTAATCGGAGAGCAGGTTAGCTGATTTTTTTTCTTAAGTTGCAGAGAGGCTCTACCTATTTATTACCGGTTAGCTCACGTGCCCAAGTTTTTATCCATTTTTTTGCTCTGATATGGAGCTGTGGCAATCAGTGCCGGTTTTAACGGCTAAAAGACACAACTGCATTGCTTTGTGATTGGGTCACCTTGTGGAACGATTATTTACTCGTGACCAAGGGACTACTATACCATTGTTGTTGTCAATCTGCTACGTTCTGTCAAATCTCTATTTCATCAGGCTCTCTAAGGTCCGGATAAAGACTTGGAAGTTGTGAGGACAGTGATTTTTGCTTTGAGTTAATTGTTCAGCCCATTTTGTTGTAGAGTCGCCGGACTGCATAGATTGAGGCAGGCACTTAAAGATTATAGGTTTGGAAATTCTTTTAATTTGTCATTGGTAATCTATGTACTACATATACTGGAAAGCTTTTACTTGTCAAAGTTTCCTGTGTTACCAATGGATAACTTAGTATACTCTATTTTGGTTGTGAAAGATCTCATGTATGCTTTCTACATTCTGATAGTCTTTTACTTTTCGCCGCTTATGCTGCTTATGGCTGAGAGCCTGAGACTGGATTGACATTGAAGTTCGGACTCCGGACCTGTGCAGCTTTTGCCCATTTTTGGTGCTCATGCGAAGGCTGTGATGACATCACTAATTCTCTTGTTCTGCTTTTCCAGTCGACGTCTCAGTAAAAACTGCATTTCTCTTGTTAGACAGAAGCCAGTAGGTACTCCACTACCCATATTAAAGCTTGATAGTCAGGAGTTTTTTCGTTTTTTGATAGTCAGGAGTTGAAGCACATAAGAATTTAACTTTTTCATGGCATTTTCCTAGCCCAAAAAAAAAAAAAAAGATTACTTTTCATTTTGAGTAATGTTTCTCCCGATGGCTTCAGGACCCTTTAAGTACAAGATAATTTAGGATACCCCAAGCGGAAAGAATCCTCGCGTTACTAGTATCTCTTTACTTAGAAGACAAAATTGCAAATGATGCCAGGTCATATTTATACTTGCCCATTCAGGAAGTGACACGTGTCTCTGTGGGGGGGCTCACCCATCAGAAATTGACTAAGTCTTTCCCCCTCTCTTCAAGGTCTCTCTCTCCCTCTCGACTCACAATGAAATCTTGAAGGAGAGATGAGTGGTGACTTGGAAATATGAAATGGAGGCGACAGGAGAGGCAACGGAAGAGGCGGAGTTGGAGGCGGCGGCGTGGATGGCCGGAGAGGGTTGCCGGAACTGGTCCGCCATTGGGCATGGCGTCTTCATATGTCTCCACTGAGCCAAGGCCAAGCCTTCTTCAGGTGTCTTGACCGAGCCAAGGCGAAGCCACTCCTCCAGATATTGGCAAAGCCACAGTCGAGCTTTCTTGGAGCAACTCTTCGTCTAGATCTCGGTTGAGCCATGGCCGAGCCCTCTAAAAAGATGCAACCAGGGCCATGAAGCCCTCACTCAGCCTCGCCTAGATGCGAGCAAGGCGCAAGTAGCCTTGGGTGAGGCCGCCTTGCCTAGATCTGAGCGAGACAAGCCTAGTAATGGCCTCGCCACCACCACCTAGCAATGGTCATAGGTGGCCGCAGTCGAAGGTAGCCATTGGCTGGAGAGGCTGCCTTCGCCCGTGGCCTCGCCCAAGAGAAAGAGCTCAGAGCGTGGGAGTCGGGATGGTGAGAGAGACCGTGAAAAGAGAGAGGAGAGACTTTGCCAATTTTTTATGAGTGGGCCCAAGAGCGACATATGTTGCTTATTAAATGGGCAAATGTAAAAATATGACATGGCGTCACTTGTGTACACAATATTTTCTTTGAATTAAAACCTAAATTCATGGTCAGCTTGTACTTTTTATGACCTAGTTCTAATTTGCCCTCCAAAGTTCGATTAAGGTCGGATTTGACCCTAATTTCATTGACTTGAATACAGGATATTTCCAAATTCAATTTCACCACATCTACCGTTAATTCAAACTGATTAAAGAATATGCCAGGAAAATGTCGTTTTGTTAAAATGGTGGTGTTCGACATGGGCCAATTTACAAGGCCGTAGCGTGATATGAGAAGAAAAACAGTACAGGACAGACTCTGTAGTATAATCGGGAGGAGCTAAAAAGAACACTGTGATGGAGTCACCATTACCAAAATCCGTAGAAACCACACTCTTACTGAAGACTGAAGGGTATCATCATCATTGACACCTTTCATCTCCCTAATGTCGCAATGCAGTAATTCATCACAGACTATCATAATCTGCAAAAGGGACAGTCCAATGAATTCACCATTACTGCAATCCGCAGAACCTACACTCACGCTGCTTAAGTCGACCATCATTATTGACAACCTTTCATCCCCTAATGCTGCAATCCTAGATAAACACTTAACTGACATGAAATCAGCAACACGGTTGAATTTGCTCTAGTTATCACAAGTACCAATATAATAAAAAGTTCGCAAAAAGAGAGGATCTAGAAGAAAAGCCTGGTGCTAGAGTAAATACAGAGAATAGATATATGTGGCTGGTTTAATAAACCCTCTTCCAGTTCTAAGTACTCCACTTCCATCGTTTTGTTTCTTTAGATGATTCCTTCATGCAAGTATTTGTCGATGTCCAAGCAAGAGCAACATCATCAGTGCTTAACGAAATAGTTTCGTCAATAAGCCGGAACCATATAGCAAAGAGAATAGTAATCTTATGGTCTAAAAGACAAGCTACAAAAATGACATTTTGACCAGAGGCCTCAACTTAGCAGTTCTCGAAGATCGGATAACAAAAATTATAATCCAAAACAAGCTCCTCAAAATGGAAGGATAAAACAACGAAAATGGTACACTCAAGCTGCACCAGCTCCGGCCTTGCCCTTCTTCCTCTGGATCTTCTTCATGTAGAATTCCAGCTCTTTTCCCTCCAGAATATACCTGAAGTAGGATGTAAATGGATATAGGTTTGAAGAATGAAGAAACTAAATGCATAAGTAAATCAACCTAGTAAAAATAATGCACTTACCCATCAGCTCTGCCACATTGACCAGGTCGGGAAGAAATGCAAGCCAACAACCTACCAGATCCAAATTGTTCTTCAATGTGTTGGTCGAGTTTACGGTCCTTCTGACGCTTCTCAAGCTTCCTCAAAACATGAGCACTCTTCTTTGTTTCCTCGGCAGGTGCTTCGCCCTCCTGTCAATTCACCAATTCATGAAGCCATAACACATATATAAATAGATATGAGTTCCAGGATTTGAACAAATATGACGGTGCTCCTCCCAGATCATCTTGTATAAAATCTTTCAGAAATAATGGCCCTCCAATTTGAATATAGTTCAGAAATAAGATCTAATATTACCTCAGTAGCTTCCTTCTTGGCCGCTGTCTTCTTCTTCCTACCAATATCGACACCATAATGCTGGAGGTACCACTGCTTAAATGGAGCTGCATCAACCTGAACAATTGCGCTCTTCACCAGGGTCTGTGTTCTCACAAGCTCGTTGTTCGAGGCATTGTAGACCACATCAAGGATACGGGTCTTGCGGGTGACAGCCTCACTACCCCATGAGTAATTCCCTGTGTCCAGTCTCAGGGCTCTCCACTTGACATTGCCTCCTCTCACACGGACTCTCCTTACGGTCTTGTTGCTTGATAGTTTTGTGCTGGCTGGCTGACGACCCAACTCGTACCTTCATAAAGCAAATGAAAAGTGAAATAAGCACGAATGATATCTTAAACAGGACGATAATGTCCCATGAAGAATCGATCCGCGATATACCACTATTTTCAAAGTACACATGACCTCTCACGGGAAGGTCCTGAGCTATATACAAGCAATAAGTTTTGTCTCCCAGCATGACACTTTGTAACGACATGTTCTCACTGAAAGGCAAACGACCCATGTTCCCTTCTTTCGCGTGGAGATAAATGAACAACCTCTCAATGCTCAAATAATCTAAGACCAAAGCAAAAGCCGCGCCATCACAAATTCCCCTAAGCTAATAGGGTTCAGAGAGAACAGGACGCTGAAACTCAACTTTCATATGATCATGCCATAAATGAGGCTGGTGCGACCCATAAAGAGTGGGTGCTACATCCTCAAGCCAAACTCATGCAGATTACCGCTCGATGGCAACTCATCGTACCACTTTGGTGTCCTAGAGTCTCGCAAGAGTGACCATATAACCTCTCGCAATACATATACTCGTCAGCAGAGACCAGGAATCATCCGAGCAGACTAGGACCGCATCCACATCACATCTATTAATCACAGCGAGCCCGCTAAACAGAGAAACCATCAACCCCAATTCGCACCCTGCAAATTTCCCACTTCCCTACGCCAATCTCCCGCGACCGACCAAAACCACAGACGCTTTAGTCCGACCACGAGAAGCAAACTAGAAGGAAGGAAAAAAAAAAAAAACCTAGCTCGACGAGGAAGCGAGAGAACAAACAAACGAAGGCACGCGAAGAAGGAAAAATTTACTTGCGCTTCTTCCTCCAGGCCTTCTTCTTGCCACCGGTGGCGCGCCTCTTGTGCATGGAGTCCCGAGAGATACCTGAAGCCAGCACCGAAACGCGACATTGAGGACCAAATCCAACAATGACCAAAACGAAGAGGCAGAGGCAGAGCAAGCCAACGATTCAATGGCGATGTGAGAGACGGAGAGGGAGGTCGGAGATCTCACCCATTTTGGCTGAGCGGCGGGGGTCTTCTCTCTCGCGCGCGCTTCTGCGTCTCGGCTTCGCTTACCGAAACCCTAGCTGCGTCCCACGGCATGCTTCTTATAGGGTGCTTAACAGAGACGAGGTCATTATCGTCATTTTGTCCCCTCACAATATGACCCCGCACTTTTTATTGGTCACCGCTATATATAAAATAACTAAATAAGCATTTTCCCCGCGTCCGCCACTTCTTGTGATACATTCATCATAAATTCTTTTAAAAAATCATAGGAAAACATTGTTTTTTTTAAAGATCTTCTTGTGATTAGTAACATAATTACATTTTACGCAATTATAATGCCTCCAAAAATACAAGCTTTCCATCAACTCTCCGTAAGATCAGGATATTTATTAGTAGAGTTTTGCTAATAAGTAAATTCACTATCTGTTCGTCCAAAAAAACTATCCACTATTTGTTCTCGCGTTTCCCATGACTAGTGCTTTGAAAATCGGACTATTCTAAATTAAAAATAATTAATAATTACCCCAGATAGTTGCTAACAAGATCCTTATCAATAAGATCTTTTATATATTGTTTTTGGATTTCGGAATTGGATATCAATGAAAAAACGACAGATGCCTCTTAAAATAGAAAGCGTATATCCAACTTAACACACACACACGCCATGTTAATGTTGATGTACGTATCGATGGAATCATCTTTCTTATGAATCCCCAACACGTAGTTCTCAAAATGTTACATTGGCTTGCAATTGTTTCATATACATGCGTGTGGATATCATGAAATCTTCTTTACCATCGCATAAGACATCCAATGCTCTCGGAGAAACCTTACTAATCTTGCCGCAATCTCCTCATTCATCAGGATTCGAACTCACGAGTCGTGACGAAAGCGGAGTTTTGCCCAAGATTTTTAGTGACCTAACGTAACCTAACAACCTCGTATCTCCCGTTTTTTGGGACGTGCGCATATCTCCACACAGCTCATTTGCAATCCACCATGCACATAAAACACATTCGCAGATCCACGTTACACGAAGCATGCATAATGTACCGAGGTCTTCATTTATCGGTCGTCTTCTTTGGATCGGACAAACTGGCTCGGTTGGGGCCACAAACTTGTGAGAAAGAGGGCAAATGTTCAACTATGAATAACTGATGATCTCAACTTTATAACCAGTCTCACACCATCCATCCATGAAGAAGCAGCACAATGTTTAAGTCCAGTTATGCTCCATCCAGTCTCCAAAGTTTCGACTCTTCCCGTACCTAGAATATGCGCAGCATTTTGGAAAATTTTGCTTTGAACTGCAGAAGGTTGTCGGTACAATTAAAGGGTGTACAATTACTTGTCGAAATCAGGAAATAGAGGTGAACTGATCAAGCTATAGCACATATGCATCCTTCTTATGCACTAGTTATCCTGATTACCTGCGCCCAATGGACATGGACGGTGCGCATGCACAAAACCAAGATACATGTGTGCACAAGATTGGAGTAGAGGAAGGGAATGAAGGAGATGAAGGAGCGCCGGAACTGTCTAGTAAAATAAATTAAGTATACTCTCAACAGCTCCAGAATTAAGTTATGGAAGTATAATCTGTGAGAGCTAAAAACAACTTGGTAGCTAAGGTGAAAGCTGAAAAGATTTATGGTTGGGCTACCATAGAGAAACGGAAAGGTGGGAGAATTTGCTGAAGCTCTTGACAGGAAAACAAACCCATCTATAGCTCACTGTCATCCGCAGTTGCATCGCTTGGCTTTCCATTCACAGAAACAAGCTCAGTGTCAAAGACGAGTGTTGCTCCACCTGGTACGATTCACGCTCAAGTTTCAGGTTGAATATTTTTTAAACAATGCATGAAGATATGCAAACATCAAGTCTGCAAACATATGCAACTATTTACGATGCTAGACAATGATATTTAGTTCAAGATGACATCATTGAAGGAATATAGTCAACAAGTATACTCCAGCATTTATTGAGCTACATTAAAGGGAAAAAAAGCATGAGAAGATATCTTGTTTGATCGAAGTAATTGTTTCCATCTCCTAGTAGTTTTCTCTCAAGTTACCTAAAAAAAATTTTTCGTCATTCTCCAGGGTGAATTACTTGTCATGCTAAGCTCAGCACCCTGTTGGCAAGACAGTCTAAAACAAGAGAGGACACAGGAAACTTCCTACCAGGTATAGTCGGTGGTGAACCCTGGTCTCCGTAGCCAAGTTTTGCAGGAATTTTAAGCTTTCTCTTCTCACCGACGCACATACCCAATAATCCTTGGTCCCATCCTGCATAAAAACAAAGAAACTCAGATGGTTTGTGACCATTATGCACTACTCTACCAACACTAAAGGAAAAGGAAAGGTCAGTGGCCACAATGAGGTTCAAGTGCTCTCTAAATTACTTCAAGTTTCATAAGGACATGGAGATCAGGCCTTGGCACCACGCAAGAGAAGTAATAGGATCGCCACCCCTCTTCTGATAGTTGAGAACTTTGGTCACCAATTTAGGGTGCAGAAAGTAAGATAAGATGCTTCCCGCTAGCCCAACCATAAATCTTATTTTATAGAATTCGTCCAGATTCTTTTTCATTTAAGAACTAATTACACTTATATCCTTAAGAGTGCTACAAGAAAATAAATATTTGCAGCAAACAATCAAGTCCCTCACGGATGACAAACCTCATGATGACATATCTCCTAAATTACCGTGGTAAAAGTGTGCTTTGCATAAAAGTAAGAATGACTTTGTAGAGCTTATAATATCAGTAGTCTGATCGGATGCATTAAGCTATCTGGAAAGGAGTTTGTACGTAAAAGGCAATAACTTTTAAAGCTAATATAAGGTTCGTGTTTGACAGAACACCACTGACCTTTTATTACTTGACCACTTCCAAGCTCGAATTCAATGGGATCACCTCTTTCAAAACTGGAGTCGAAAACAGTTCCATCAGTCAGCTTTCCCTGCCAACAATGACCAGAGTCATCAGTTACTACTAACGATAGCCAAGAATGGAATTACTCAAGTTATACAACTTGACACAGTTCTTATATTCGGATTTTCCATACGGATCAAGTACTTGAACTAACTGCATACACAAAGGAAAGGCCTGAACGATCCAAAAATTTACCCGATAGTGTACTTTGACTCTATCACCTTTGTGAGCCTGGATATCGCATTTTTCTGGCTTGTACTGTACAGAGGAAAACAAAAATTCAAATACCAAACTATCAAATTAAGACATCTCAATAACGGGTTAGTAGCTTCTGCCATGCAGAATCATGAAATAATAAATGCTTCTCCTGCAAAGTGTTAGTTCATGTAGTAAAATGATAATGGTTTTCCACCCTGATTAATGAAGTACAATAGTTCTTTTTTCACTTAACTCCATCAGAAGTAACCATATAAATCAAACACAAATTAATGTTATTTTACTTACAATTTGATTGGTGAAACCATTAGCATCGACCCTAACCCAAATTGCAAATTAATGCATTTCAATGTACACTGCAGTGGAGCATTTACATTAAGAAAGTGCACACAACAATATCATCTTCATACATGTCGTTTAGCAGAAATTAAAACAAAAGGGACACCTCCAAAAGGTTGACAGTCGGACAAACCATGCCATTGTGTCATTTATAACAAATCAATACAGAAACAAACAGCCTCACTCCTGTAGTTGTGGCACATATAGAAGTACCCAAGCAAGGCCGCAAATGAGCTTACATAATTTTCAGTTGAGGATAAAAGAAAGAACCCAAATGGAACTCGTGTACCATACGCAGTGCACATACAATGACGGGAGGCCGATTAACCTCACTCTAGCTAAGTCATCGCTCTACATGCTCTTAGCTAAGCAAAGAACGATAACATTTGTGTTTAGTTTTCTACCATCAGAACCCGGGACCTGGAAGAAAACTTAAGTAGCTATAGAATCACTCGACTGATGACATCAAAAATCACAGTTCACATCTTTGGAGGATAGCAAAATAGCACAACGAAGAGATTGCCATTCCCTATACAGAACAGAACCTAAAATATGTTCCGTGTGATTGGGACACCTAAACACAGACCAAATGTAAAAATCACACACCCTAAGAAGCCATGTCTCGATTCCTCACGCGCAAATGACCGCCGCGCCCTCACGTGATGACCTCACATTGCCTTCTCACACGAATACAATGTATCATGTATCCCAATCCCAAAAAATTGCAAAACAAGCGGGCATTCATTTACGGCACAAAACCCATGGCCGCGAATCGCCGAGCGGCGAGAGAACTCCGCAAAAAGCGAATAAGACGCACAAAGCAGGGGCCACTTTTCTCCACAAGAAGATCCGGATCCTCGAGACAACAGGCCTAACAAGCTAAAACCCATTAAAGAGGAAACGACGAACAAACGAGGGAAGCAGAGTTTCGGAGAAATTCACCTTCACGCCGATCTGCAAATCCGTGACGTCGCGGGTCTTGGCATTCGCTGCGAGATAGGACACCGCAACCCTCAATCAGTTGCAGAACTTTGAAATTTACAGTGTGGCATGCCCGTCTTGATCGTCATCAGATCTAGAGAAGCGAAAGAGAAAGAGAGAAGGGTTACCGAGAGCCAAGAGGAGCAAGAGAAGCGCAATGGAGAGAACGCTCATGGCGCATCTGCTGCTGAGACCCATCTCCTCTCGACTGCACAAATGCTCGACAATGGCGATTCCTGGAGAGGAGAGAGAAGAGAGAGAGAGAGAGAGAGAGAGAGGAGGGCGACGAACTGATGAAATTGCCGAGCGAGTTTCTGAGTCGACTCGGCTTCTGGGTCTATTCATCGAGGCTGATCGTCAGAATCGCCGAGTCACGAAAATTTTGCACAAGCGATCCCTAAATTCACATCTATTTGCACTTCCGCCCCCCATTTCCGCAAACAAACGCTGAGGAGTGTGGACCATTTCGATTTCTTATACGTTTGGGAATTATAATCGAACTCGAGTCTGTCGAAAATATGATTAGTCAACTAAATATGAGGGAGAAGAGATCACTTTGTGAGCATAATTTAGTTTGTGAATCTTCAGTAGATCATTCTTACAGTGATCAAGCAGTCGTGGCGTTCTTCAAATCCAACATGCGTTTGCGAAATTTCTCTGAATAAAAAGTTTTAAGTATCCGATAAATTTCAATACATATAATGCAAAAAAAAAAAAATTTGCGCACGAATGGTTATTTATGCGAAATTCATGATACTTTTGATTGCTAAATCTTGCAAAATTGAGGACCAATCTCGATTGGTTTTACATTTGCAAGGGAAATGTTAGGCTCTCTCTTTACAACGTCGTGTGAACATCACTATTGCGAGCTTAAAACGATGTTGATGGTGCCGTCCGAGCCAACAAAATCGGCAAGCGCGACATTTAGAGATGCGAGACAAAGCAAGGAGAAGATATCCTGTACAATGATCGCACCACGCACCATGTTGACTTGACACCACTGCACTAATCAAATTTCAAAACTCAACGCCGGTTCGCTAAGAGAAATTATGTTGCCGGAACGTAAAATAATACAACTTGTATCATACAAGTAAGATCGTTGTTGTGACACCATTGTTGTATTAAGATACATATTCCAGGGCCAACTATACAATGTCAAGTTTCAAAATCAAGATGATCTTGATGTTCAAATACTCAAGATCCACATCAAGCTACGCAGGTCTTCATCAATTACTTCAAACAAGAATCATGATATCATTCGTTTGAAATACTGTGTACAGATTAGTTGCTGGTTTCTATCATTACCTGTATCAACTATCAAGCAACACTGTAACATGAATATACTCTCACTGAATGCATCATCAATAAGTATGCATATTCCTCCATTTCCAAACTACAACAAAACTGATTATCGGCATAGTCCCGAGTGATAATTACGGGGGAAAAAATCGCCTAATCTTCTTCTCGAGCACGCCCTCCTCCAAATCTTGAGGCATGACGCCGGATGCCCATCAATTTGCAAATCCGAAGAGACTCGGATAGGCAAGTGTGACAATTGCCGCAGAACTTTGAAAAGATCTCTCTTTCTCCGATCTTCTTCCCAGTGGCAAGAAGAGGATGACGAGTCGCATGAAAACACCAATGTCACCAGCGAAACAACATCCTCATCACCAGTATCAATCTAAGGACACTGTTTGATAACATAGCAGTTTGATTGAAACTCTTGCATGCCTAATAAGCTCGCCTCATCCTAATAGCAGATGTAGGAATTCATCTCTGTTTAAAAGCAAATCTAACACGGCCAGATCATCTGTTTCTGAGGTAGATTAATGAGGAGATGCGCGAACAGCAAATTGCACAGGCACAACATTGGACGATTCCCTCAACAAGTGCGCCATGTCGCAAATCATGCATGCTGGAATAGGATAGATACCGGTCGTCTCGCAGGATCGACGCTTCTCCTCCAGCGTTATGAGCACAGCATCAGAAATGGATGCCATACCGTTTAAGAGGCAGTCGGACTCGCCACATGTGATTCAGCACCTTGCATATACTTTTGCTCTCTTTTAAAGTCTCGACCACATCGGCATTTCCGCTCTACACCAGCGAATTTCGGAGCACGCGATCATGAACATAGAATTCTACTCTCAATTAACGAAATTTATTCCATTCAATAGAATCTTGTAATTCTTCTGGCCCATCATCGTATCCCTCTTCCTAAACTCCCCCAGCAAATCGAAGGCTTCACTGCCCTTCCCTTCCCTGCACAATCCTTCCAACAATGTCTTATAAGTCAGAAGGTCCGGAGCCATTGCTTCGCGCAGCATGTCAAACACCGCCTCCCTCGCGTCCTCGAGCCTCCGCTCCAACGAAAGACTACAGATCAGAATCATATATGCGCTGCTCTTCGGCACCAGCTCTTTACTCCTCATTTCCTTATAAAGCCCTAAACCCTGCCCGACCCTCCCCTTCTCGCACAACCCCTTCACGATGTAACTATAAGTGTACGCATTCGGCTCGCACCCATACAACCCCATCTCCCGAAACACCCGGATCGCCTCGTCGACCTCGAGGCACTTCGAGTACGCCTTAATGATCATGTTCAGCACGAATGTGTCCGGGATGACCCCCGACGACTTCATCTGCTTAGCCATTGATCGGACGGCGTGCAGGTACACATAACACACATGCAACTTATTGAACCTCCTAAGCAGGGAATTGAACAGTAGAGTGTAGGTCTCGAGCGTGGGCTTACAGTCCTCGGAGCGGAGCATCTTCCTGTACACGTCGAAGGCGCGATTGAACAGGAACTTGCGGCCGCAGCAGAACCGGATCACCGAGTTGTAGAGGGGCACGCTCATCTCGCAGGCCCCGGCGACGACCTCCTCGACGAGGGTCTCGGCGTGGCGGTAGCGGCGGCCTGAGATGAGGATCTTGATCATGGCGAGGTAAGCGGCGGAGTCGTGCCTGTAGCCCCGCTGCTGGGCGGCCCAGCGGAAGACGTCGAGGGCGAGGTCGGGGTCGGACTGGGCGCGGAGGGCGTCGGCGACCTCGGGGGGGCCGAACCCAGGCCGGAGCTTGTCGATCCAGCTCTCGAACTGCTTCTCGAGAGGGGTTCGGGTCCTGGGGCTAGGGTTCGCCAGCGGCGGCGGCGGCGGCGGCGGCGGGGATCGCGCGGGTGCGGTGGTGATTGGGCGGCGGAGACGGAGAGAGAGATCGAGGAGATGCGGCGAGGGAGAGAAGAGGCGGCGATTGGGGTTCGCGAGGAGTCGGAGGAGCGCCGGCGCCGGCATCGGAGAGAGCGACGGGGAGACAGGGCCGCGCGTGCGGTGAAGAAAGAAGTGGGAAAGACGAAGAGAGAGACAGACCAACAAGCAGCTGAGAAAAGGAGAACGGCACTGTTTTAACTCCTGAGTTTTAGGAAATCAGCATTAAGTGAAATCTTATAATTATTCAAATTTAATTAATTACTAAACAATATCTATAACATCCAATTACAAAATAATATGCATTTCGTTGCTCAAAAGATTATTTCTTTCGCTTGCGAGTTCAAAACTAAATGTGTCATATAAATTACTTGCTCTCGTTCATTAGAAAAGAAACTGAATCTCTTACAATTGACCAATCCAGGCAACGTTAGAATTAGTGTACTCTATTCGAAGTATTTTGAGACGCAATACCCTCGGTGATACGAGAGTAAATATCTATTGTGGACTTAATAAGCCGGACCTTTTTGGCCATTTTGAGACATTCAGGATTATTTTTCAATCATTTGAAGCGTATTTGTATGTGATATGCCGTTATCTATCTACTGAATTCTAGAGCATAGAGAAAATACTACTCGATCTCAAAAGGAGAATAAGAAACATTTATGTATATCTAATTCTTTTTAAGTGCGAAATATAAAGAAGTGGGATTTAACCATGCAATCCAAACAATTCCATTTTTAACTACTTTCTTTCAGTCCAATTTTCAAATTGATTAAAAAAAAAATAATGAATGCTGACCTTAACTAGAAGCAACAGGGTAATTCTCAATCATTTATTGTTCATATATTTTTCGTACATTTAAGGAATAGGAATATTTTATAATTCTGTTTATAGTACTATGTTTCTACCCATTCTAGTACTATCAGTAATTCTCAAGTTCGCTGTTCAAGGTATAAGACATGAAAGGTATCACCACAATACAAACTAATCTCTCATTCTAAAGCACCAAAAGATCATGTAACCTCTTTGCTGCTTATTGAGCATAACACTAATAGAAACCAACTTCAAAGGCCAGAAAAGTGAACAAATCCATTGTTATCTCGCTAATTCATAGATAAAGAATGGACTACTGTGCATATGACTGCGAGCTAGCCTCCGGAGCTAACAGTAATTTTTTTTCAGCTTCACACCATCTGACCATGATCCGCTAGCTCCGGCGAGACGGGCGGGGGAACAGCTCGGGACTAGCCGGCCCTCGGAAACTTCTCCTTCCTCAGGGACTCGGCAATTCTCTTCGAGATGCAATAGGCTGTGGACTGGATGGTGATCATGGGATTCACCCCCACTGCGGTCGGGAGCACGCTCCCGTCGCACACGAACAGGCCCTTCGCCTCCCAGCTCTCGCCATTCTCGTCGACCGCGCCTGCTTCCTCGGACGCGCCCATGCGGCAACTCCCCATCTGGTGGGCGCAGCAGTACACGGTCCAATGTTCCTGACACGATCCCAGCCCTCCGGGAGTAGTGATCGAGACCAGGAATTCCTCTATATCCTCTTGCTTAGCCCCTCTGCATTTGATTCTCTGCCCGTCGCTTCGGTACGTGCCGACTTCGACGGCACCAGCCGCGATCAGGATCCTCAGTGCCTGCCTCATCCCGAGCTTGAGATTTTCCTTGTCCATTTGGCTTAGCCTGTAACTGATTATACCCTCCTCTTTGACAACTCCTGAGCCCTGGTCTCTAACTAGTGCGAAAAGATGAGCGGTTCTCGGATACTTGACCACCCTGTTCTTCATTTCAGCCCCCGATACCCACGGGAACAGCGAGGCGAATGAACCGGGCCCGAGAGCCGGAGTTTCTATGATGGCCTGCACTTCAGAGGAATCTTCCGATACCACCTTGTGGATTGAACTGATGATTCCTCCGTCATAGACTCTGCCTCTGTAACCAGTTGAATTTTCAGGAAAGTAACCCCAAACCAGCAGAACTGGATGAAGGTGGAGGTTCGTGCCTACGTTAGGATTCTTCAGCCCACTGGAGATAAGCAAAGGAGGCGTCAAGAGAGAGCCGCACGCCGAAATTGTCACCTTGGCCTCAATGCGGAGCTTCTTAGAAAAGTCCCTATTCGAGACCGTTGCAATCACTCCCGAGCATCTATGACCCACCTTCTCATCATCACAGGTCTCAAGTATGAGTTTGTCCGCTTTGCATCCTGTCAAAATCACTGCATCGTGCTCAACAGCATCGACGAGCCATGTGCAGTCGGTACCGCGCTTCTCTCCCATTCTACAACCGTAGCAGCACGAGCCACAGTAATGGCTCTCGGGGGAGTTCCTCGGGACGGTTTCCACATGCAAACCGAGGTTCGAGCACCCTTTTCTAAGAATTTGATTCTGGAAGCCTTCCTCTGTGCAGTTCTCTGTAACGCCGATTCTTTTGCACACAACGTCCATCGCAGATAAGTACTCGGGGCTTCCGAAAAGTGGGATTTTGTGATCCACAGACCATTCATGGAGTACAGAGCTTGGAGTCTTGATGGAAGCCGACCAGTTCACAGCGGAGCCTCCGCCTACGGTGGACCCCGCCAGGATCATGAACTTCCCATCAACGGTTGAAAGCATCCCGCCTGACTCGTACATTTGATTCAGCGAGGGGGCCTCCAGGGAGGAATAATCCTGAGGCGTGAAATAATCCCCTTTCTCCAGGACAACCACTTTCTGGCCAGACTGAGCAAGAACAGCGGCGGCGACTCCACCGCCACAACCAGACCCAATTATCACGGCGTCGCATTTAATATTGCAGATATCTGTTTCGGAACTTTCTGTGACTTTGAGGCCTTTTCCTGCCAGAGACTGGACGAGGGACGAGCTGCTTTCATACATAGTCTCAATAATTCCCTTTTCTAGAGGCCTCGCCCTTTTGGATTTCACTGGCTTCTCTCGAGTGTCGACCTCGTATCCAATCGCTTCCCATGACGGGTTCTTGGAGTTCTCATCTGTCTGCAAGAAGAGAAATAAAGAGATCAATTTCGAACAACCTTAAAGCTCAAGGGCCGCATAAATGTTTTTTTTGGTAACCAGGGCCGCATAAATGTTCAGCTACCTAAAAGTAGATAACAGGACACAGAACAGTAGCGGCTATAATGAATTATGATACATAGAACTTCAGCACGAAGAAGAAATATACATTTCCTAAGAAAACAAAGAATTGCCAATTACATAGTATCAGGTGCAGAGAGAGAAACAGTATAAGTCACCTAACTCTCTCCTTTCTGGACAATCTGATCAAGTAAGATCACTGTTCTGGTAGGACATTGAAACAGAGTTTATAGCAGTGTTGTTATCATCTTTGATAAATGTATGGAGAACTGTATCTAGAGTCTGCATGGAGAACGTTTCTCTCGGGTTCTGTAAACCCTTGCTTAATCAACAGAGCTCAACCTGATGAACGTTGCCAGCATTTTAATCAAACATCAATTTGCACGAGTGCGTCCTTCGTTAAGATGAAAGAAAAATGCCGCATAGTCTAGTTTACTAACGGGTATGCTATCTTAGCATACCAACTTTCTAAACCAGTCTTGGTAGTGTATGCTTGGCATTGTTTAAGAGGAGAAACAACAAAAGAAGACTTGCCCCGGCAAGACTCGTAGTTTCAACACAAGTGGGGCCAGCCACCGATGTTGCAATCGTCCAATGGGCTTGGTTTCTATTACAGCTAGCCTGGTATAGTTTATTCAGTACAGTGTAGAGTAATTCCTCATGTCATCATCATCACAGAATCTCCATCAAGACAAAGCTAACTACCATGACTTTAGCCAACATCATAACCTACTGTCATCCGGACACAATATTCAAATACCATCCAGCACATGGATTTCTCTAAAGTTCCTCACCAGTCACCACCTCAGCGTTTACTAACCAACCCTTGGAAAGTTCAACTTACAAAAAAATTAAAAAAAAACTGATATTGAAAACATTACCCTTGAGAAGAAGATGAACAAGCATAAAAGTTTGACCGTTGCGAAGGCCACTTTCAGAGGGATCAGTTTCTTCTGCCTTGACCATCTGTTGAGGACTATCTCCCTCCTCTCCAATGGCATCTCTTGGAACTTGTGAACGAAGGGCCATCTCCAGTCCAAGCACAGAAACCCGCAGAGCAATAATGTCCCCAATCTGTAGGAGAGAATCTTCAAGACTAGGCTCACAACAAACACAGCTTTGTGCTGTCCCCTCTTCACCATACGCTCTGCAACCTGCCATCCATTACAGAAGCAAAGGGAAAAGGGGAAAAAGCAATCAACTTCTGGGCCCAATTCAAGAGCAAGCTTTTCTTGGGAAAAAAAAAAACAAGTGTGAGAGACTCAATCAACGCTCAAATAGAGCACCGAGAAGATATCCTTTCAAAAAAAAAAAATCAAAGTTCTGAACAGAGATGAAAATTTTCGCAACACGCCTGACAGCCTGTCTTTGCTTTTTCCATATCTAATTGACTAGGAGATGTTTAGCAACTAAGTTTCAGAGAACCACCAGAAAGAAACTATGCCCAGCAAAGAAACTTCACAACACAATGGTCGGCCCAGACCAATAAAAAAGAAAGAAGGAAACTTTACCATGGCCAGGCATAGGATATAATTATACTTGCAGAAGCATGCATGAACCTGCCAGAAAACAAGCAAAACGGGAGCTTTCTGACCTCATCAGGGATCGGATGCCGAGACCCAGAAGCCCGGAAGAAAGAGCACACGGCCTCATTGCGAGGGATTCCGTCGCCGATGCTGTCCGGCGAGAGAGGAGGTACGAGAGTCTCGCACATGGCGGCGAGCGACTGCATTTGGTCGGCGGAGAAGCCATGGCTGAAGCTGGTCTCTCTCCTCCCTCCACTCAACAGAGGATGACTGTCTCTTCCCATCGTCTGACTCGTATAAAAATCTAGGATAATGTCTGTCGGAGCGAAGCTTCCTCGTGAGAAAGATGCGGTACGGCTCTCCCAGGGAGAAGACGCAAAACAGCGAGCGAGAGAGAGAGAGAGAGAGAGAGAGAGAGAGCGAGAGAGACAGAGATGAAGAGTTCTGGAGAAGTGTGCAGGTTTGCTGTGTCACGAGATACGGACCAAACAAAAGTCGTCAGTGCAGAACCAGTTCCATTTATTGGCCTCGTGGAAGTCGGCCATTAATCCA